CTTTTACAGCAACATCTCAAATGCTTTGGTTTTTTTTAATTGTGATAGTAAGTCTCCAACATTGTATTTTCCACCTCACACCCCCTTGTCATGGTGTGAGCTGAAGCTGAAATACAGTTATGAAACAGTAAAATACGTTTATGTAAAACAGTGAAAAGAAGTGATGAATCACTGAAAAAATGTGACCAAGACAAAACTACTACCATGTGAGGCAACAATAGTGCAAGAAGACTACCCAGGCTGAACATGGGAAGAATCTGGAACTGGAAAAATAGGCCAAGAACTGGTGGGTGGTGGGCAGAGAGTCCCTTACTGCATCCCTCGCACCAGGGTCCCTGACACACATCACTGAATCTGACAGTCCAAGAGCCATACTTGTAATGTTAAATGACAGCATCCCGGAATGAACCCACCACTCAAAAAAATTCAGTAAACTGACCCTTCCTCAACCAGCCACACATTTGGCCTACAACCAACCAGTTCTTGCAACGTCTGTTTTCATACTTACTGCCCTAGGCCATTCTCAATTGACAGGTAATGTTAGAAATGCACCATAGGTCAGCAAATGTTTTAAAATTGTGGACTAGGATGTTTTCATTGCTTAAACATCATAGGCAACAGTGCTGAACCTAAAGAAAAGAGTCTACGCCATCCTTATCTATATATTAAGATTTAAGCATATCTTACATATTTAAGTGTATCTTATACATTAAGACTTAGTATGGAGCTAAATCTTAACATGCCTTACATTGAGTAAGACATAAGTAGAGTTTTCTTAAATAACTTCATAAATTTAAAGTTGGTAAAAAAATCCAAGTGGAACACAAATGACAATGAATCTTTAGCAGCACAAAAAGTAGTTGTGTCAGAGTTTGGCATGCAGTCACCTTGTCCTAGAAGGCCAGGAGAAAAAGTGAAGTGCAGACAGAAAACTTTTTACTACCTGAGAAAATCTGTCTGCTCTCAACCAAGGGCAAATCTATCTTTATGGTCAGTAAAGCAGCTTAATGCAGGCCTACTATAACATTTTGATAATAGATGCTGTTTCACACAGACACTATAAAGTTCCTTTTTTATTTCGTTTGCAAGAGACTGGCTCTTGAATATCAAAATGCATCTGCTTTTCTTAGGTGACTGCAATTCTTTGCCTTTATAATAACACATTGCAAAGCTTGTTTACTTCAATGTGTTCAAAAACCTTGGTCACAAGAAGTCAAAGAAGAAAGGAGGTTTCAGCTGAACACAGTTTTGTGAAACAAAAAAAATCTCAAAGAAAGAGTGGCCTACATGATTTGCACATACAAAAGCTCAGCTAATTCTTCAGCACCTTACTCAGCCCCAATGACAAGTAAAATTACATCTTTTGGAGTGCAGAGAGAGAAACCATCTAGATCAGGTATAGAAATATAAATGTCCATGCTTTACACATTATAATGCGAAAATAATGTTCAGTACCTTTTACAAACAATTAAGCTTACAATAATAAACAAATGGTAGGTCTGTTGGTCCATACTTCCTCAAGAGATTATTAGATCCCTCAAGCACATCATTTAAAAATGTATTTGTACATGCAGATCACCTTCAGTACAAAAGGGATCTCTCTTGCAAAACAAGTTCAGTTGCTAAAAGTAGTGATGGATGGAAAAATACCTGAGCAATAGTTTGTATCAAAGCTTTAGCTTGGGTCTGGATGAAATCTTCTTACTACTTTCTCTACCAGTAACATAACTGTAAAAAGTTTTGAGACATATTATCATAGTGTGATGGCTCTGTCAGAGGATTTAAAATAGCCAGGAGCCAGGCCATCTCCTGAGACTGACACACAATTTTCCCGTGCTTCCAGGACAAGTGACTTCTTTTACCCTTACTGCTGTGCTTGGTTGAAAAGATGACTGCAATGTGAACTTACTCTCTACCCCTGCTCTCTTCCCAAAAAGTCTAAACTAAGATGGGATGTGACAATTCTAGGGAATTACCTTGTTGCAAAGGCAACCAAACAGGAATCAAAAAATTGGAAACTTGCTCCAGCCTTCCATACAGAACAACTACCACAGTGCAAGAGACACATCATCACTTACCTGCTGGGATAAACAGCAAAACAGAAGGGTAAAAGCATTGCCATGTCAGTAAAATGCTTGAGCCAGATACAAATTTGCTCATATGGGCACTCTTGCTCTTCACTGATGCAGCTGTTCACTGCCTTTAGCTCTGATTTCATCTTTTCTTTCTCCCTTTTCATAATCTGCAGCTCACCCTTCTGATTGTCATGAACGCTCCTAGTGAAGTGAATTTGTGGCACTGTGAAACTCAGCTGAGTGGCAAGTCAATCTGATGTTAAAGCCACAAGAGAACTAAGGGCCTTTTCCTAAACTGCTGTGCTGCTGCTGTTTCTGAGGCGAAAAATGTACAAGGAGGCAAGGTAGTGTCCAATGTGCATAACAGCGTAGTGGTGAGAAGAGACAGAGGCGGCTTCCAATGAAAACAAACAGGGAGGATTTTAGTGCTGAAATTCAATCTAAAATAACGCCTTACAAAAGCAAAATACCTTTGTGGGCTAGCATCAATGACTGCTACAAGGCTTCATGGAAAAACATGATTTGTTTGTTTGTTTGCTGATGAAAATCTGACAGAATCAAAGACAATAGTGCTGCCCCTCCTGGTCCTAAAACACATGTAGTTTTTTTATTTCTAAGTGAATGCCTGAAAAACAAAACAAAACAAAATAAAACAGAACTTGCTTCCTCACATTGTTTTAACATAAATATATTTAGACATGAAAACTTCTGTTCCAGCCCCCTGAAAGTTCCTTCTTAGGACTAAATGACTCAGGCATGAAAACAATTGTTACTCATAAGCCCAAATAAAAATTGGTAGACTGTTACTAGGTTTCATCTCATTTTTATGACTTCTTTGCCCAAATCAATCAATCGCATGAAGTTAAACTCAACATGGGCAGTTAATCTCTCACAGAGACTGGAGATTGCAAACATAAGTCAAACAGGAAGAATGAAAGCCGAGATAAGACATGGTTTATACTAGTTAACTTCAAAGCCTGGAGAGATGGCTGAAAACATTAAGATAATATACAATGAACAATGATTCCAGAAGAAATAATAGAAGCCTCTCTTACCAAACATGCAATTGTAAGTAAAAACCCCACAACTTCTACAACTACTTCTCCAACTGCACAGAATTTGTATTATATCAAGAATCTTCTAAGGCTATGCAGTAAAACAATCAGCCTTAAAACTAGCCTTCAAGTAGCAAGCCTGTTGCTGTCCTGATAATTGGCAGTATCAGGAGAGTTAGCTAAGAGCCTTCCATGAAGACAACTATCTTCGCACAGGCACATGAAATTAGTCACACTGCACACTATTAATGGCATTCACACATAATAGTGAATACAAACCACTGCATTTTCAGGGGTAATTAGATACAATTTCCTCAAGGTTTTTTTTTTTTTGTTGTTCTGAATATATGAAAATAACTCTTCTTTTTCATCCAGATAATGTTTTAACATAAAATATGGTGCTAGCCACACATTCAAGTATTCAGAAAAAATAGTGAAGACTAGACATGCATCCAAAGGTGGTTTTTTTGGTTCAGAACTGTTTCATGTGTTGGAAATTCAGATAAGTACTACTACATACAAACATTTTACCATTCCTTCCCCTCCTCCCCCCAATTATAATGTCTTACTTAGATCATAATTGAGATAATCACTTGATTCGCTGCCTGTGCACCCTGCAATTAACCAGTTTCATCAAGATTCACAAAACTTGGTCAAAGAAGACTTAGGACTGGAAGAAGAAGAAAATGCTGGAGGTCAAAAGTGGAATTCATGAATAAATGACATAGGAAAGCTTAGGTAGTGCCTATGTGAAAGCTCAATTTTATATACTGATCAGCAACAGAGTATAATCCTGCTGACTCGTCAGTGTTTAATTAGCTTTTGCTATTTCTAAAAAAATTGGCTGGGTTTTTTTTGTAAAAAACACCCAAGCAACAGAGAGACATGAATGGCTACACAGCAACAACAAAACTATCTCTACAATGTTCTGGTCAATTGCATAAATAAGCTGGGAAAAAATGTGAGTTACAAAGTTATGATCAGTTATAAAATGCAGATGTCATATTTCATAGCCTCTGAATAAGAAGTATCTGAGTATCACAGTAAATGTCATTAGGACACTAAGACCTTAGTTTTGAGGGTCATGTAAGACAAGGTGTTCTACTCTCTGAAAACACCTGCTACACAAAACATTAAATTGCTGGAAACGTGGCATGTCAGCACAAGGCGAAAGACACTGAAAAACAACTGAGCTGATGCTTCCTGCCAGGCAGAAGCTGCAATTCAAATTTTTGCTAGGAATCATTGCTCCAATACACAATAAAACAGTAAAAATAATGCAGAGTCATGCACCTCACAAAACCCCACATACAGTGTGTTTTGAAGCCTGCAGTTACCTCCTCAGACTACAGCATAGCGCTGTTGTAGACAGTATAGGTGAGCTTAGAGAATTATAGACTAGAACTAGTTAGAAGTTTACAACTAACACTGGCAGAGACTGGGAAAAGTATTTCAACTAACTGTCATTTTCTTAAACAAAAATCTCCCTTCTTCAGAGAAAATACCAAGTTTTGAAAAAAAATTGCTGGTCCAAAACTCCCAAAATTCCCATTTCC